TGCTTCTCTTGCTGCTAGTTCTCCTGCTGCTGCTGCTCTGTTTCCAGCAGCAGACCCACCAGCAGCAGCAGCAGCAGCAGCAGCAGCGGCAGCAGCAGCAGCGGCAGGAGAAGCAGGGGCCCAGCGCTCAGTAGGAGGAAACACAGCAACAACCCCACCTGCTGGCTGCATGCGAATGTCTCCCCCGGAGCGCTCGTCCCGGGGCCCCAAATGAAAGCGCAGAGTGCATGCGGTGTCTGTACACCCCGTTGCTTCGGGTCTTACAAGAGCAACAACTTCTTCTTCACTGTCTCCTTCTGTCTCCTTTTCTCCCTCTTTCTCCTGCTGCTGCTGCTCCTGCTGCTGCTGCTGCTGCTGCTGCTGCTGCTGCGGGTGCGGGAGACGATCCCCGCAAGAGGAACGCAGCAGCAACTCTGTCCCCGGANGCAGCAGCAACTCTGTCCCCGGAGACGGAGACACCAGCCGCAGGGCCCGGCCCCCCCGCACCCTCACCCTCACTTCTCCCTCGACCTCTTTGCTGCATGCGAGGCGGCACCGCACAGACAGGGGCCTCGGCATGCGCTTGGGGGCCCCCCGGGGGGCCCCCCCCTGGGGGCCCCATATGTCATCCTCTGCTGCTGCTGCGTCGTCCATGTATGTATGCACGCGGCAGTGTACAGACACCGTAGGCGGAGACGGGGGAGAAGCCGAAGGCTCAGCAGCAGCAGCAGCAGCAGCAGCAGCAACAGCAGCAGCAGCAGCAGCAGAAGTAGGAGAATCAGCAGGAGGCGTGAAAGGAGACAGGTGGTGTGTTATATGCAGCTCGAAGGGGGGACGTCCTGCAGCAGCAGCAGCAGCAGCAGCAGCAGCAGCAGCAGCAAGAGGTAGCTCTATATCTACTGCAACAAACTGCTGCCACTGGTGTGGGGCGATCACAAAACTGTCTCCTTTTGCTGTCTCCTTTTGCTGTCCCCTCACAAACAGCAGCAGCTCTTCTTGCCCCCCTGCTGCTGCTGGTGCTCCTGCTGCTGCTGCTGCTGCTGCTGCTGCTGCTGCTGGTGGGCCCCGCTGCAGCTGCGGTGTTATAGATAAAGAGACAGGGACCCGCGGTTGCCTAGACAGCCGAACGAAGTAGCCGAAGCGGGGCTGCTCGGGTGTCACTGCAGCTGTGTAGGGGACAAACACCAGATGTATTTCATCTGTCTCCGTTTCTGTCTCTGTCTCTGTTTCTGTCTCCGTTTCTGTTTCTGTTTCTGTCTCTGTTTCTGTTTCTGTTTGTGTTTCTGTTTCTCTCTGTCTCTTTCTGTCTCCTTTTTTTGTCTCCTTTAAGGAGGCATCAAAGAGACGAACGGAAGAAATGAGAGAGTCAGGGCTGAGGGGTGTTGTTGCTGCTGCTGCTTCTGCTGCTGCTGCTGCTGCTGCTGTTGTTGTTGCTGCTGCTGCATTCTCAGCTGTCTCCTCCTGTCCCCCTTGCGATCCCAACGATCCCAAAGGAGACACCTCACGCATCACTGGCAGCAGCAGCTGCTGCTGCTGCTGCAGCAGCTGCTGCTGCAGCAGACTGTCCTGCTGCAGCAGGCCGTCAGCTGGGGAGACAGTGCACAACCGAGGCAGCGCCTCCACCACAAAGAAAGAAGAAGAGGAGACAGTTGCTGCTGCTGCTGCTGCTGCTGCTGCTGGTGATAGACGCAGCTGCCACGCAGCTCTTCCCCCCTGCAGCAGCTGGGGTCCGAGTCCACTAACGAGTTCATCTGCTGCTGC